GTGCCTCGCAAAAGGTTTTTTTTTTGGTAGAAGAAACGTTAACCTGATGAACGTAGACATCAGATTTTATGCATCGATGGTAGTTTTGCACTAAAATCATTTATCATACAAAAATACATACAAAATCACCAGTCGCGTTGATTCATAGTTGGGATACAATTTATTCTTAGTAAAAACTATAACAAAAATACTTTTTTTACATAAATGAAGTCGCCATTTAAAAGTAATTAATAATTACCTAAAGAATAATTCAATAACCCTGCTTTCTCCAACAATCTTATTAAAATTAATAAGAAAACTGTACAGCAATATTATCAATAACTTCTACTAGTACTTAGGACTATATAATTTATATAATTAGTTTTATATATACTCAAGGAGAGTGTCCATAACCGTAATATTGTGATTTAAAATATATTCACTTTAAATTAAAAACTGAAATAAAACACCAAAAAAAATGAGTTGAAATAATTGATTGAACAAGTAAAGGACAGAATTATAGGTTGAAGGAGATAAGACAAACCGTTTTATTGGTCCCTAGGTACATATAAAAGGCTCCTAAAAATAACGTGTTAGAGGCTATCTCAAAATTCTCCACTGTTATTTTCACGGAAACGTCAAGACATAAAGTTTTAATTTTTAAAATACAAGATTGACAAATTCATTAGAACACTAACCATGTAAGTTAAATATACCAATTTAGTAGTTTGGATTTAAAAATATTTGTAGAGCACTAAAACGAAGATCTATTGACACAAATCTTATGTATATATTTGTATATAGTTGGGTAGCTGAGTAGTTATAGTGCTTGCCTGATAGCCAAAGGTCGCCGGTTCGATCCTGAGTCAAGTATACCCAGCTGTCCTTGACTATTGGGCATTTAATAAATTGTCCTGGCTAACTAAATACCTAGTCTTAGTCAATAAGTGTATCTAACGCCATTATACACTCATCCTTCACTCAGATTTGGGTTAAAAACAGAAACCTAGGTAAAGAAGCATAAATGTAACAACATTAAGATTGAAAATAAGCTGAACAATTTCGAGTTCATAAACTATACAAATGTTGCAAAACAAATGCACCTAAAACAACTCTTTCAGTAAATAAAGCTTTAATGGGAAACACCGTTACAACATTGTTTATAAGGACACTGTCAAATAACCATATCAAGTTCCATGTGAATTATCAAAGTTAACAGCTGGTCGTGTTTGTTCTGCCAACAGATGTTCCAACATGTCAGTGATGTTGTCTTTATGATGTTTACAATACCCGCATTGGTCAGACAATGTAGACACTAACATGACTCTAACTTTTGGCAAAACTTGTGTGACCATAGCGATGTTTTTGACGGGGCGCTTTTCAGTTATATAAATAAGTTTATAATATATTGAAATAAGATGCTAACTCAAATGTTACTATATCGTAAATCAACTTGATTATATAATACCTATATAGGTATTATGGATCTATTTTAACAAATTTTAAACATAACCCTGCAGTTAATGTGTTTTTTGCAAATGAAAGAAATCAAGTCCATACAATGCTTCATTAATGATTTGCGAGGCACTGAAATAAAACACCAAAGAAAATATGTAAACTAATTACAATGTGAGGGAATATTAGAAATGTGTTTGGGACAATTTGAATTAAAATGAACTGAAAAAACTTGCAGTTATTTCTTTAATTTCCCTGCATAGTATTGACAACACACTTGAATCTGTAATAATATTTTTCATATTTTTTAAGTTTGATTAAATACACTAAAACGGGTTTTATCTTCAACAATATATTTTTCATTAGTTTACCTAATATTTATTTCTAACGGTTTAATCGATTGTAACGTTAGTAAATTTACAATTGATTACAAAAACAATTTATTAAAATATTCCTAGTTATTTAACCCAAATACATATAAAATGACCATTTTCAAATAATTTAATGCTAATATGATTTGGTGTGTTAATTTTACTATTTTTACTGTTCGTCAACTTGATGATTTATATTATTACAGATTTAAACGGTTAATTACTAGATGTAAAATAGCAGTACTCTCGCTCACGAGTTCACAGACAGGCAAAATAATACCAGTACCTATATTGCCTTTAAATATTGAAGGCGCTGCATATACATACTGGTCTGTATTATGCCTACTATTGGAATGTTAATACCATTAACGCTAGAATGTCTTAACAAAGTAAATTTAATTACATGTGCATACCGTCAACTAAAAGACTTAAGTAAATGAAAAACTCTTTAAAGTGCCTGAAAATACAGGACTGTCATATAAATGGTTGATGTTGAAACAGTTAACAAAATGAGTTAACTTCTAATTGAACCATATTAAAATATACAGCCAACATTGAAAATCTAAATACACGTGGATTACGTGGGTTGTCAATTTAAATATGCCATTTAAGAATAAACTAACTTTATTCTAAATAATTGATAAGTGTAATTCCATTACAGAGAACTGAATATATTATGTTAATAAAGCATATATTTAGTAACAATATGTGTTACCCATTTTTACTAAGGCATAGGCTTACAATACAAAAAATACGGTTATTTCAAAAAGTTTTATTTTGAGATTCCCATTATCCCAGTTTCTTAGCTTGTAAAGTATTTAGAAATTCCAATTGTTCTACCTATAATATGATTTTTGCTGTTCTTGTTACAACATGAATATTTTCTATGTATTATCGTTTTATTATCCTTAAAACTATAACTATTTTCATCACATGTTCTTTTACGTGAATTTATATCAATTAACCGTCGAAAATCACGGAGTGACGTATAAAAATAAAAAAATTGGGAGGGCAACCAGAAAGCCAATGAAAGTTGGATAGAACACATAAGGTGGTGATATTGACAGATGTTATCCACTAGACAGAGAGGAAATGAGCTGTTGAAGAGACAAATGTTGGCTCAGGGATATAAACAAACTCTGCCACTCAAGTCCCATTGTCAACCTTCTATCTTACACACGTCTTCAAACCACATTGCCAATGAAAGTTGAATACAACACATAAGGTGGTGATATTGACAGATGTTATCCAAAAGACAGAGAGGAAATTAGCTGTTGAAGAGACAAATGTTGGCTCAGGGATATAAACAAACTCTGCCACTCAAGTCCCATTGTCAACCTTCTATCTTACACACGTCTTCAAACCACATTGCCAATGAAAGTTGAATACAACACATAAGGTGGTGATATTGACAGATGTTATCCAAAAGACAGAGAGGAAATTAGCTGTTGAAGAGACAAATGTTGGCTCAGGGATATAAACAAACTCTGCCACTCAAGTCCCATTGTCAACCTATCCTATATACTTCTCCTTACTACAATCTTACAAAACAAGCATTTTACTTTCACCTCCCATACATAGTGTATGAGGAAATTTTTGTTTTTATAAACATTAGTTTGAGATAGTTATACACTAGAAGTATACAGTTATACATTAAAAGTTGAGATTTGTGTGAAAATCTTAGTTTTGGGCCCCCGACCCAAAAATAGCTTTTAGAATTGATTGACATTTTGATTGTGATTGTGTATGTATATGTACAGAGTTACAGACAACATTTGGGTTTCTGATTTAGATCAAATCTGGTATCTGAGTACTAATCCATAATATCTCGTATAATAACTTAATTTTTAAGAAGCGTACATTTTTGAATGTGATTTTTCCATTAAAAAAACTCATAGGATAACGAAGAACGGGATATTCAGAGCAACAGCTGTTACAATTTTGTTTCAAATATATTATGTTACGCCTCTTTAATTCTCAAAAAGGTTGTTCAGCCTAAAATGATGTAAATATCAGGATTCAAAAATGCTTGCCGCATTGTAATTGTGATTTTCCCGATGAAATATCATAGTTACTCCCTCCGCTTACAAATGATAAGGGTTGTTGACAAGCCAAAGAAATGAAGTGTGTGTCAGATTGCTGATATCGTTGGTTTTAAAATTTTATCGGTTACATGTTGTACCTATTACTGTAACTTCTAGTGCCAGTTCTGACTGTTTAACCCAGTGTCTCTGATTTAAAGTAAGACCATTCTAGTTTTATTATTTAAATACAAAGCTTGCAGCTAATAAGACGGGAACTGTATTTAATCAGAAAAGTGAATTTTGTAAAATTTTGAAATCCATAGAATATATATTTTTGGCCTATTTTGTCTTTTAATTCATCTCACTTCTACTACCAGTAAAATTGTGATTCATTTAAAATTAAAGTGTACCACCTAATTGGCAACATGGTAAGGGGTATAATGTACAACATCTTTTTTTAGTTTTTCGTTAATTTTTTTAATTCTTTGTAAAAACCCTTAAATATTTTTATATACTAAGTTTCCAAAGAAATCATGAATGAACATCCATAGTAACCACGAGGTTATAATGTTGTGCAGTGGGATTTGTAAAAAAGGAAATAAATAGATTTTTGTCAATTACGACTTTTAGTAGCTATAAATATTTTCTACAAAGATTTCCCTTAATTCTATCGTTGGGGTTACGACACATTTCAATGGCCAAAAACATGTCATGTTACTTTGCTAGTTTAAGATATTTCCGTAAGTAAAATCAATCTTCAAAGTCTTTGGGAACAAAACAATAAATCCCACCTGCTAACTCAATTTTGAAGTTCATTTCGCTTTCGTTTACTCGGCATAACATTGTGCAAACTTTTAAATTGTACTTTTTCTAGTACATTTAGGTTAAGTGTATGCTAGATGGTTTTAACATATTCCACAATTTTAAAACTCTATTTTATATTGGGTATATCAAAGTAAGCAGGTTTTGTTAAACCGCATTACTTGTGGGATAGTTTCAATGCAGTAAAATCACATAATAAGAAATAACAGTTTTTATTATGTTAGACAAAAACATTACCGTACACCTCCAGGCGAAACACAGTCTTGAATTATAAATAAACAACGTTTTATAAATTATAATAATATTATATTACTTAGAAATGTTTTAAGAGTGTTCAATTTTACAGTACCTTATTGAAGATTGTGGCTGTTCTTTTTTCACCTGAAAAAAAAAATTAGATTCATTAATATTTGTGAATAGTTATGGAATAAATCTTAAAACGTTTTATCGTTTATCAATACACTTTGAGTTCAAGATAAGGATTGGCCAAGATATATTATTGAAGTGTGTTGCATATATAAATGTTGTGTTGGCATTCGTGAGTATATGAATGCAAGACTATATTGTTTATTCTAATTATTAACTATTTACAAGCTCAATAATCATGTTAAAACCTCTTAAAAGAATGTCGGGCCTAGGAAAAATAAAAGACTTTGTAAAATTGTAATTTTTGGATCACAATTCACTGTGTTACACGTTCAACAAATGCAAATTTCGATCAAAGCAATAACAACATAATGGCAACTGAGAGAGAAAATGCGAGGTTTCATGTTGAAAAACTACCTCGTCAGTTGCCATCAATTACAAGAACGGTATTTGTGGAACGTTAGCTTTAAATCCATTCTAAATAATATTTATGTTTTCAATTTATTTTAGAAAATGCCACTCTTAATCTATATAGTGTGTTAGATGTTTCAAAAATTTTGCAATTTATTTGTTTATCTGTTACCACAAGAAAAGCTGTCAGGCTAGACAATCACAATATCAAATTCATATTAAAGAAAACTTAATTAATCTTATACCAAATTTTGTAAAATGACATCATGGAGAATATTTTAGTTTTTGAGTCAAAGGAATTTAGTGGTTTTTCAATTTTATGAAACATTCCTAAGTTAAATCGTTTTAAAGGATCTAAGGACTTGCCCACTTTCTTTGTAGTTTATTTGCAGTTCGGTTTGCCTTATTATGTAGATTTTTGTGAAGTGGGAATATAAACGTAGAAATTGTGTTCACTAATAAAACAATCCTAATTATAAAGTGCACATGTATTTGTAAATGGTTTGCTCAATATGGTCAATATTAGTTTATTTTCAATGTGAAACAATATAAAGTTATATTTAAGTTTACACTCTAACCGTGGTTTTAACCATAATTCAGCACAAACACCATTAATTGTGGAGATATTGTTACTGCCACAGACTCATTCTCAAATGTTCACCCTGTATAGAAATAAAATAATTATTTGTGATTGAGTATATACGAAAAATGTGTTTTTTTTTTGGAAAACTTAGCAGATAAGACAACGTGGTGTTTATGAATAAATAAACAAGTTACAACTTTTCAGCTTTATAAGTTAGGTAAATATTAATAAATGGAAAAATAGTATAACACTGTACGTCTGTAAAATGTTTTAATTTTAATTTGAGTTTTACATAAATTTGCATTTATTTCTTTTGCAAGGGAGTTGTCGACACGCTTAGAGACAAAGCTAATTTGTATCCAGAATCTGAATCAAACTAACAATCTTCATATTTGAAGATAACATCGCCACTCGTCCCAGACAATGTCCACTATGAAAGAATACAACGGATAGTGAAGAGAAAACAATCAGTGTGAGTGGACAAACCAGTGGCTTTGTGTGACGTAATTAATGACAACGAGAGTTGACACCGGATACGGAAACACCTCAACAACTCTCACGTTAGAGGAAATGGAAACACTTCTTTAAACTAACTGTTGCTGTTGGTATCATTCATTTACGTGTTTATTAACTTATTTCGATGTTAGTTTTATGACACGAGATTAATTTAAAATACAATTTTTTTACATAGGTTTATGTTTAAGTTTAGGTTTAGGTTTTGGTTTAGGTTTATGTTTAAATTAAAAAGTGCTTATGTTTAAAGTGTTGATATTTTACACCTTATCTGTATAGCTTCATTTGTGCTTTATATGCACAAAAATTTTACTTAATATTTTTCTCATCATTTTAGTTTTTGAGATTACTAATTCAATGGTTGGTGAAAACAAAACTGTAGCCCTCTTACCTATTAACGTTTACACTCTTAAACATTTTATATTTAAATTAACGTTTAAATTTTGTAGTTTATAATATAATGTCGGACACAATTGAAATGATTTCTACCCACAATAACTTCTTAAATTCTAAATGTCCTTAATGTTATATCAAGTCTGTCACATAAGGCAGAAAAGGATTGAACTTAACTCTAAATGCATTTTATAGAACACGTTGTTGAAAAAATAAATTTATTTTTAAAAGTTTTTATTAAAATATTTAATGATATGTGTATTTTCTATTCGTGTAAAAATCCTTTTGTATGATAAAATATCAAAATATGAACACTACAACAGAATATCATGAACCAAATAGAGTTAAAGAGCGTGAATAAACTTGGTATTCTGCGAATGACAGTATCAAGAACGCGGAAGGTAATCTAAAGAACTTGTTAAAAAATTGTTTAAATAAAAATTTTTTTTACAAACCTGTTTTTATTATTAGCTACCACGATCTAAGAAAACGAACGATTATCAGATACAACAATCCAATATAATACAAGTTAATTTGTTACTAAACTCAAGCCGAAAAATTACATGCACAAAGAATCTATAACTTAGAGATAACAAGCTCATACGTTGGCATTCCTGCTTCCTTCACTTCATAAGCGATCAGCTGTTATGCATTGTTGCATTGTTGTTTACACGGTTGAGTGTTATTGGGAATTTAATTGGAATCTGACTTTACTTGTTGGTTATGTCTAAAATGCAACCTATGTACAAGATTAATTTATTCCCATTTAAAAAAATATTGTACAATTCATTTTACATCGTTTTACCCTGTACCACAGACTATAGACCAATTAATTTTTTTGGTTCTGGAGTCCTAACTGTAAACTTATTTGCAAACCATACTTGGCATAAAATGAATGATTTGATTTTAATGTATTCTTCTAAAATAAATAATCCTGGATTCTGTGTAACTCCAATGTTGAATCTTTTTTATAATGTATATTTTTAATAACACCTAACCATACAAAAAAAGGTTGAAAAAATGCAAATCAGGTGCAAGTGAAGAGAGTTAAGTTGCTACATTTAAGAGCATTTTTTGTACATTAGCAGTGATAGTTATCCCAGATAATTGTATGCAATAGTTCCTTGCATAGTAATAGTCCTTGCTTAAAAAGCAGACACAATTTGTTGGTAGTAAATTAACCAAAGTTATCTTACTTGATTTTACAATATAAGTAATTTGAGTTAAACTTAATTAGGTACTTTATGCTATGGGCAATCTTATTAAATAACTGAAGTTTGTCATGGTATAACTATTACATATCAGTTGTTCATAATACAATTACAAAGGTTATTCCATAGATCGATATAATACATTATTCCGCCTCAAGTCACCCATAGGAAAAAATTCAGCTATAAAAACGAATATATATATATATATATATAGGCTATATATTATATATTTATATATATATATATACAGTACGCAAATTAAAACATACTTACAATGCTACGATTTCACTTTGATTGTATTTTTCTTAAATTTACATAATATGAACAAATATTTTTAAATACATCAACTTTATTTTTGATTTACCTTATCCTTGAAGTAGCTATCATTCTTTCTTTATTAAAATTATACGTTTGCTTGCATCGCATTATGTTTCAATCTTTAAAGATGTCTAAAATACACCTGTAAAAGTAAAGGTTATGAGGTCCAAGCAGTTTATTTCAATAGACATATTCCGTACAAAATATTACGGTTAAAGTGTCCAAGAAAAACTTTATTTACAAATATTTTAGACTTTCTAACTTACATTATTTCATTTTTTTTAATATATTACAGAAAACAATAGTTCTACATTATTTATAGTTACCTCATATTGGTAATAAATTAGAGTGTATTTTAGGCATACGTTGTTTTATTCCATGAATAGTTTATTATTTCATATTTTAACCTTAAGAGTTTACAATCTTCTATTTGTTGGTGGTGACAGGAATGTAATCTGTTCAAGGAAACAAAGGAAATGAGTTGTTTCCAAGGGAGCTGTAAATTTTACTCGCTTGTAGCTTACTTCAGAATATTTATTAGCTGGTTGAAATTTTCCCTTAATTCTTATAGATTAATGATGTGAAAGTACTTAGTATGTACACTGGCACACTTGCCTGAAAATGCACCTAGGTGACAGCCCTGCATTTACAAAACATAAATCTATTTTGACTTGAAGACCGAGTTTTCATTTTAGATTGTATGGATATTTTGACTGCCAAAATAAATATTATAATAATTTAATAATTGGTTGAGCTGACAAAAAGATATTTAACTACAGTACATATTTTACTAGTAAATGTTCATATAAACAAATCTGTTTTGCAATATTTAAATTGAATGTTAATAACTTTAGACACATTACAATTAAATATTGGCTTGAATTAAATCCACATTTAACTATGGACGCGACCAAATATCCTTATTGTATTTACGGTGAACAATTTAGGGATTAGGAATCCACCTGATTCAAAGATTAAGGTTGATTATCAAGGATTTCTGCTTGATTGCCTAATTCAATGAATAGAGGTGTTGAGATAAGCGATACATTATGCCACAGATATGTTGTTGAACATAAGCTTACATCATTTATGTATTATGAATATTCAATATAATAATTTCTATCGCTAAAAATATTATTGGTCGTATAAAAATTCTCGAAATTCTTACGCATTGAATCATCCTTAAATTAACGCCTTAAGACCACCTTAAATTAATGTCGAAAATAAGATTCAACCGGTTTATATCTAAGAATTTAAAAATGTATGTTAACAAAAATTGGTAACATAGCTATCTGGTTGTCATGTCATTGTACCAAAGATTTTCTATTAGTGTTGCTGCTAATGGCATAACGCTATACGACTTTTCCAGTTTTTCTTCCTTAAAATGCTTCAAACCTTTTATAAGGATGATTGTCTCGCATTCAAATCTGAAGGTCGCTGGTTCGATCTCGTACGGGAATCTTTCCAGATGCAAGATGTTATTGTCTTATCTAATTAATGAAAATATGAATCAAACATACCCCGTAGTATAGTAAAAAAATAATTGAACCGATCCATTACAAAAATTTTCAAAAGATCATATGCGA